CTCAGGTCACTTATATACATTTTTACTTTATACCTATTATACCTATTATACCTGATATACTATTTATACCTGATATACTTATCCTTATAATTTCCTATCATCTACCCATCATTTTTCCCTACAACATTTTCCTCTCCTTAAATCATGAGTACCACAAGTGATCCTTAACTTTATCCTAATTTGGAAATTCTATAGTCACCTCCTTTTAACAATCAATTTTCCTAAGTTGATAAGAGTACTCAAGCATTTGCAAGGCTTAGCAAGTATTCCCGTGCTGATTCACTATATCCTCATTAATCAATATTCTCGTGCTTGCCACACTATATTCAAGACTTATTTGTCAAATACTACTTTTGTATTATTCACAATAAGAATTATTGCTATTTAAACCAATAGTTTTAGCACTAATCCTTCCAACTTTTTTATCCTTTTAATTGTTGAAATTATGCCTAGGAAAAACTGTATCTCCAAAGCTATTTATCTCACTCATTCCAGTCACAAAGACCTTTCCTGGGAAACCATAATAATACTTCAGGAAAGAGTTAAAATTTTGGAATGTTTGGCATATTGTGGAGAAAGGTCCAAAACTTTGGAAGAAGAAGTCACCAAGTTAAAAGCAGACTTGGAAATACTTTCCGACACTCACTCCCTTCACTGTCATAATAGGGAGTTGGAGTTGGAAAATTTAAACTTGAAAAATAGGGTGGCTCGATTAGAAGGACTGCTCCAACTATTAGGAACTCCAGTTCCAGCTCCTTTTGATAGGTCCTTTTTCACCTTTGAGCCTAATTATATGTTTGCTTTTCTCCCTACTGGTTTCAAGTTTTTTCTCTTTTATCATTTGTGGATTCATAATGGAAAATGCAGTAGTCACTGAGTATGCTTTGTGGACTGGCTGTAATGGATAGGGAGTTGCTCTGTGGGCCACTTCCATTACATTGCATTTCTCGCTTGTTTCTCTTAGTACTTTTTAGATTCCTTCTTCTATTCAAGGGTTCAATGATACTTGTGTTTAGGCAAGTTGAGAACTGGGCTATCATGGTATCTACATCCACATCATATAATCTGGGTACTGTAATCCATACAGTAGCTAAAGAATACTCTTCTTTTTTCAATATTTCAAAAATAATATAAAAATAAGAAATTATTCATGTAATTATAAGGCATAATAATAATAAAGAAATAAAAATAACAATAAAAATAAAAGTAAAATAATAAAACCTATCCAATAGTTGTTTAAAAATTGTTTATAGAAATTATATAATTTAGATACTATAGCCTCAAACACCAATCTGCTCCAAAGGTAATATTACCTAGGGTGCTATGGCTAACCAGCCCTTAACTGGTATATGCTATGGATTCCTATCTCTAGAAACCAAGGTCGTTTACAGCTATATCTGGATCCAATATTATTCATTCACATAAATCACAAGAAATAAAAAAAATCAAAAGGGTGATAGGTATTTTCAACTATTTGTTTAATTTCAAAAATAATAACCACTATACTAATAAAAAATGAAAATAAAATATTCCTTTTTTGCTCAAAAATTTTCTTCGATTTTTCTGATTTTTTTTTTTCGTTTCCTTCAAAATAAAGTAAAAATAAAAAAATAAAAGTACCGATCAATCGGGTAAAGATAAAGGGGAATAATTGATAATCGATTGATCGAAGTAGAAATTAAAAGTCAAAACTAAACACAGTAAGCTAATCTAATATCATCGTTGCATAAATCCTAAACTATACTAACACTATCCCATTTCCCTTTTTATCCCACTTTCCCATCCATCCGTTCCATTTTTTTTTTTCACAATTTTCCTTTCCCTCCTTGCTTGTGAGTACTATGAATAATCATTGCCCATGGCACGTATCGCGATTTTTACTTTTTCGCTCACACCACTATCCCTTTTTCGCGCTTGCTTTAATAATGATGTGGTCGGTACGTATCTTCATCAGTTATAATCTTCGTTGTGTTTTCTTTTCATGCTCTCTTTCCCTCCATTCTTCTGTGTACCAACTGGCCTTTCTGCTAATGCTACCAATATGTTGCATTATTCCTGCACACTCAGATTTCGAGACAGTTCCATTGATTATCAGAATCGTCATGACAATTATCATCATTGTGCAGTATATTAGTTTTGCAATGATGTCTACGTATGCTATTATTAACTCCTTGAGCATATTTGTCCATTGCCACTATTTTTCATACCCGGGTGCCCATAATTTCCTTGCATTAATCACCACTGTCCCTCCCTTTGTTTCATCCTCCATTTTACCCTCATCAGGGGGATTATCGGTTATCGTTCCTCCATTCTCGTGACATTCCAATCCACCTTCACTCGCATTAGGTCTCCCATCGGTAAGTCCATGTGCGTCACCATACTTCCTATCACCAATTGTTAACTCTCGGTTCACTTTTTTTTAAGTCCTCCCGAGTTATCACAACTTACGATCGTGACGACATTGGTTGGTACCAACACTACTTTGTCCCCATCATCTTGGTGGTTAATAGGCATGCCGACGGTTGTATCCTTTTTTCTATAGTATTGTTTCTACCAATGATCTTGATTCGCTAATTCGTTATCGTTTATGAATTCCTCTTCCGTATCATCATCATTTCTGCTGTCCTTAGGGTCTCATGATTCTCATGTACTTACGAACATCGTTCCTCCTTCCGTTTCATACTCCGTTTTACTTTCAGGAGGATGGGCATCCCACTCATAAATTGTAATCCATCCTTCATTATGATACCTCAACCCCACCCTATTCACTTTAGGTCTCTTCATGGTAAGTCTGTCTGTGTTCCAATATCTCATGTCATTAATTACTAATTCACCGTTTTCCTTTTTGCTACGTCCTCCTGGGTCATCACAACTTGCAATCGTGATGTTACTGGTCGGTACTATCACTACTTCGTTCCTCTCTGATGGATGGATATCTCGTTTTGCGAGTATGCTCCCATCATCATTATGATATCCCATTTCCACTCCATCCATGTCAGAGTATAGTTCAACGCCAGGTTCATCATGACTTTTCTCGTTCAGGGGACTATCCTTCCCACACATTTCTTCGCATTTCAAGTTGTGTGATGCTGACTGTTCCTTCATTACCTTAGCGTCTTGTTCTTTCGCGACTATCTCTATTAGCTCATATTGTTTTTCTAACCGACCTTCACCCTTCTCCTCAGTTTCGTTAACCTTTTCTGGATTCTCTTTGGTTGCTGCCGACGTTTCTTCCAATTGGAAGGAGTACGCTATAGGACCTGGAATCACCGGTCTATATATATTGCTGAAATTCATAGATCCTTGATGCAATTGACACAATTATTTGATGCAATTAATTGAGTCACAATTAAAACATATAAATAATTGAGTTATGATGCAATTATTTTTAAGGATTTTGGGAATTGAGTCAACAGCAAAATAATTTACGCCACATGTATACACCGGTCATGCTTCATTATCAGAGTTGGGATTATCACTCGTCTTTTCTATCACTTTCTTTTTACCATTCTCTTCTTTCGTCTTTCTTTTATTGCCCGACTTTTCATTCTGCCCAGTGTTCCCGTCGGGTCCCTTATTAATGATATCATCAGCGGGTGCCTTCTTGATCTCATCATTCGAGATCGGGATCTTTGCTGGATACCTCTTAGCAGTCTTTTCCCTACCACCCCTAACAATGTTTGCCTTCTCTTTAGATGCAGGCGTATCATCATAATCTTTCTTATACTTACGGTACCCTCTATTTCTTTTTATGGTCACCCCTTTTGGGTTGCTTGCGGTGGAGGCGATAACTTGGTAATATCTTTCCTTCACTTCACACATTTGTTTTCTTAATTCTTGCACATGATCTAACCCCTTGGTTTTTTGTAGTTTCCTTTCGGCCTCAGCTTCGGCCTGCATCGCTGCTCTGATTACTTTCACTGGATTGATTGTGTTTGCAATGGTAGGTAAAGGCAATATGTCCTTCCGTAGTCCCATTGCCAGCAACCATTCCACCAGTTTCTTGTGGTAGTTTCCCTTGGGGTATATCTTCTCGAATAGTCTTGCAAACCTATTGGCGTATTTTACCACCTTTTCGTTTTCTTTCTGTTCTATATTTTATAATTCTTTCTGCCATTGGCATCGTTGCTCAAGCATCTGCATGAATGTTGGTGTGAAACTCCCTTTGCGGTCGTATTTGTCGTCTTAACAAGAAAAACAGCACCAGTTCTCCTTATACCATTCTAATGCATTCTCTTTTAAGTACTTATCTATCTTCCTTAGTTTTTCGTCATTCGTCCAGTTGTTTCATTCAGCGGCTTCATCGTAGAGCCTTATTCATGATCATGGGTCTCCTTCTACTTTGCTTCCGAACTTCCGGATTCTTGTCCTCTGGGTCTCCTTCACTTCCTTTTTTGATCTTGCTATCTGTTCTCGGTCGGCGAGCACCTTTAACGGTTTTCTCCGGAGTTTTTGTTATGGAAGAGTATGGAAAGCTCTTTCATTATCTGTGTCGCATATAATTTTAATTATGACGCCATTGATTAATAATATTAATTAGGGTGTCACGTGTATCGCGAATGGGTCTTAACGTCTTGTTTCGGCGAATGTTTGAACAATAGTTAATTAAATCTTTCTATTTTTGGATTCACACTAAAAATATCAGGTAATAAGTGTCATGTACAATAATGCTGCTATGTGTGGGAAATGCATGTATACTTGTCTGTTCTGTCATTAATTGTTGTCGCTTATATCCAATAAAGTAAAAAATATATATATATCAGAGATATAGTATATAATCAAGATCGTGGATATCACGTATTAAAGTGTCGTGTGTGGAAAGTCGCTATAAAAGAAATCGGGGGTAATGAGTGTTGTTGGTAGTGTTTTATCTCACAGTCACCACCAAAAATGTTGTGGTGAAATTATGACAAGTCAGTCGCTTCAATCTGTCTCCCGCCGTGTAACAATCAGGCAGTTTCTGCTCAAAAGAGGCATGTGAATTTGGTTAGAGTTCATAACGCTGATACAGATCAGTCTGTCGATCTTGCATCCTCAATGGTTATTTCACGCACAGCAATTCCATTAGCTACATGATGCTGGGGTCAAACACAAGGCAATAGTTTATCAAATAAAGATGGTTTTTATTTAACAGTTGCGCAGTATCTATTCTGGTTCTTTCCACTTTTTGACCATTCTCAGGTCACTTATATACATTTTTACTTTATACCTATTATACCTAT